TATATAATTATTAATGTAAATGCGCCACAATCACACAAATAAGTATTGTATAATCAATCGTGCTAGTGTTGTCATATTTAATTAATTTAAATGTTATTTATATTTTTATTATGATGCTCCTATTGTCTGTAAATTTGTTAGAATTGAAAAAATAAACGATTCCTAAAACTATTGCTGATCTGCTTCATTGTTCTGAGATTTCAATAACATTTGCAGTGGCTTTTGATATATTATCCTTCATTCTTTCCATGAATTTCTCATTCAGTTTATGTACGTGTTGACTAAGCTTAGATATTTTTAATGCTACATCTAATAATTTCTGACTATTTTTGCAGATGTGTTCATAATTGGGACGTGTTAAGACAAAAGCTCTTTCGGCTTCTGTCAATACATTTATGTCGAGAATCTGTCCTTGTCCTTCTGTGCTTGTTTTCTGTTTGATCAAGTTCTTCCGTTGAGTTTTGCGATTTCTATACTCCTGTTGCCAGTCCTTTCGCTCCTGCCTGAGTTTATCTATATATTCCCTCAGTTTAAAAGCTTCAACAGCATCCTTTGCATTGCATTCTTTTTGGTTTGGTCCGTTTCCATTGATTATAACTTCATTGTCATCTAAAAGACATATTTGTTTAACATCATAAATATTAATATATAGTAATTTCATATTTTACATGAAATAAATAAATACAAAATATATTTATCTAGGAGAAGACATAACTACAATTACTAGAATCGGTTTCTTTTATGTTTGTTTCCACCAATGTAGATTAACTTTAATCTTAGTTCAACTTATTCTTCGTCTTTTTCTAGTTTTAAAGATTAGAAAAAAACAAAGAGTAAGTTGAATCGAGATTAAAGTTAATTTACATTGGTGGAAATGGGCATTAGCATTTTTTAAATATAGAAATTAACATTTTAAGAATAAAATTATTGTTCATAAGAAACAATTATATTTATAAAAATTATATTTATAAAAATTATATCGTTAATGGAGACCTATTCTGATCTTCAATTATTTTTAAATTAAATATTTCGACACGAAAATTTTTTTTATGTCACTTCATAAACCTAACCTTGGTGATCGCGGGCTGTAGAAAATCGCGCGTGGAAAACCGATGACCTGCGTTTGTAGATAGTTTTTTCAGATTTAAAGTCCTCATTAAAATTCGATACATCAACTGTAGTCATTATTGAGTAATTTGTTGTAACAAAAGGGTCATTTCTCGTTAATCGTGTTTACTTATAAATAATATTCGGCGGAATAACTTTTGATAACTTTCAAATTTCAAACGAACTCCGAACTCCGACTTGAGCTAGTAGCATCCAATTATTAGTGCGTTCGGCAATGTAAAGGCTGTAAACACAATAATCACAAGCAATAGGCACAAGGAACAGGGAATAACGAGCTGTCCAATCAGAGCTCTGGGATATAATATCAAATTTATATACCAGAGCTCTGATTGGACTTGTTATTCCTTGTTGCCTATAAGCCTTAAATCTGAGATACGAGCTAGCAAATAGCGAGCTTGATCACATGATCTTCGAGCAATCCGAGTGCCAAGAATTAATTCCGAACGCTACAGATCTGTAAACTGTCTTTTAGGGTTAGATTATAAAATGAAATTGTTTATTTTTATGAATAAATAAAAAATATATTTAATTGAAAATGTCTTTCGCTTTACTAGAAACTGATAATAGTCTTATATACTAAAAATAGATCGACACATGAATATAGCAGATTCATATGCAAAGTTTGTTTTCTTAAAAGAAAATACTACATTGCAAAATAAATTTCTGCAATTTATATCACTTGATTTATATTCGTTAGAGTCTTTAATATATTAATACAGTTTGATTTATTTCATTTTATATGCGCAACATAAGCTTTTGATCTAAAAATTAATTAGCAAATTCTTTGTTTTCAAATACGTAACTTCAAATTCATAAAGAGGAAAAGAATTAAAAACTTACTTTCCTCGTTAAATATTATACATAATGTACTCCATCAATTTCTATTTGATAGCATTTGTTTGAGCGTTTAGACTCAGACATTATAACAGTTCAAATACGTTATTTGTGAAATAGAAGTATTAAAAGAAATGAACGGTTACGTTCACTAGAACGTTTATTTTGCAACTGTTGGAAGTTTTCTTCGCGTTGATTGAGTTATGCTTTTAGATTAAGAGGAATAGTCCTATCTCAGCAGAGAATTATAAAATGATTTCAAAATTGTTGTGTTCTGTTGAACTTGTATTATGTGTTAACAAATCAGTTGGATACATTATTATAAATATACAGGTTATGAATTTAATTTAGGCGCGAATCTGCATTAACTCTGCGAGCTCGGTCTTTGAATCCGGAGTGGATCGAGCAGCTCAATTGGCTCTGGAAGAAATGTTAATATCGAACGCAGATAAGAATTGTGGTCAAAATCTTACAAATGCTTTGAAGCATTTGATGGATTAAAAGAAATTAGAAGAAAGAATTTTACAAACTGATTAATTAAAAAACGCTTCAAAGCAACATCGCGTTGACTCGAGATGACATGTAGAAAAATGCAAGTTGCTGAACAATTTTTGAGGTAAAAGAGAAAACAGAGACCTCTGATTCGCAATGCTGAACGCATTTCTTATTTTTCTGCTGGATTGCCAGCAATGCTAGCTGAATTAGAATCTTGCCACCGTATTGGCTGCGGTACTGGAACTAACAGCACTGCAACTACGGAGTAATAAGAAGATGACTAAATTTTAGGCCAGTATTCATAGTCAAATCTTATATTCAAGACCGTTTTGAGTACGATCTTAAGAAGTCACAAACCAATCAGAAGGCTGCATTAGCGATTTAAGACATTATTTAAGACGATCTTGAAATAAAATTCGACTATGAATATCGGCTTTATGATTTCTGATAGATTGACATTCTTATTCTCTGTTCTCTGTTCCTTTTATTGTGCGGAGCCCCCTAACACAATTTCAATCTATCAGAGGCGCGATTCCGTAAGGAGCTCCGCACAATAAAAGGAACGGAGAATAGAGAATAAGAATTTCAACCTATCAGAAACTGTGTATTCCACAATACATGATTTCTGATAAATTGAAATTCTTATTCTCTATTCTCTATTCCTTTTATTGTGTGGAACCCCTGATTGTTTTACATGACAGTTGTTGGTATCGTTGCGCAGCTTTTTTACCATAAAATATTTGCGTAACGACACTGACAATTGTCGGTAGACGTGTAACGCTGAACAATGAGTCAGTAATCGGTAGACTTAAGTCTTATTGGTGAAGTTGACCAATAGCCAACTTGTACGATTAAGGCAAATTGGCCAACTTCATCGATTAAGACTAGTCAGGCCTTATATTTAAGACTTTCTTAAATTTATCTTTAGATACTCTACGAATTATTTTATTAGTTGCATCTAATGGTAAATTTAAGGAAATTTTAAGTACAAGGTCTGACTACGAATACGAGCAAATACAACTTTCGACTATCGACTCATTGTAAAATCAGCATAAAGACGGTTATGAAATTGCGAAGAATGGAGCATTCTTCATGTAAAATTGGTATGACCATGCAAACTGCGAGAATAGTGTTAAAGTTACTAGATTAACAAAATACCATGAACTGCCGCCATTTTGATTCCATAATGTGTCATCAGAAATCGGATACATCGGTTTCTGATAAATTCGTTATTTCTTATTCCTAATTTCTTATTCCTTCTATTGTGGCTGCACTATAAGAATTTCAACCTATTAGAAACTATGTATTCCATAATACATGATATCTGATAGATAGAAATTTTTATTCTCTGTTCTTTGTTCCCTGTTTCTTTTATTGTGCGGAGCCCCTAAAATTGTTTATTCTCTATTCCTAAGGATTTAAACACAATAGGCACAGGCAATAGCCATAAGGAACAGAAAAAAACGAGCTATCCAATCAGAGCTATCTAATTAGAGCTCTAGGATATAATATCAAACTTATATACTGCAACTCTGATTGGATAGCTTGTTATTCCCTGTTGCCTGTATCTATTGTGTTTAAGTAATTAATTCCTTAATTTCTTATTTCTTCTATTGTACGCACAGTCTTCTATTGTGCAGTACGCAGGGCCGACGTCATTGCATCCATTGCTTATATCGTGTGCCTTCCAACAAGCGACACAGTATGATACAGTGATCATGTCATTTTTGTTTAACATTGGCAAACAACAAAGATGTAATGATCCATGTGTTGCTTGTTGAAAGCACACATCATGTGATCCTCACGCACCTAGTTCGCTACTTCCGGAAAGTTCAGACGGCGCTGAGAATCGTCCCCCCCTTTTTTTCAGGAGGGGAGTTTGTACCCCCTGCTGCCAAAAAGGGCAGCGCGTAAAAGAGCAGCAAAAAAGTGATGCAAAAATTGTCAAATATCGGGCGCATGACGGCGGTGTGGCGAACCCGGTGAGCTTGGCGTTGGTGGTGGAGTGCGGCGTATGTAAAAGAAAAAAATAAAAAGGAAAAGAAACCAAAACAAACACGTAGCCGCGTTAAGCAGAGCCGAGGAGGCACGGCGTGCGAGCGCGATGTCGAGCACCTTGGAGAAGAAGATTATGAATCTGGAGGAGCGGTTGCGAGCGGAGAATGAGTCGCGGGAGCGGGACAGGCAAGTCGGCAGCGACGTTGGCCCGAGCATAGGCTTGCACTCTTCGTCGTCATCGTCGTCGTCGACGACAGTGGCGGCAGGATCCGCGTCCAGCCCCGCGCCCCGCAGACCACGGCAACGTAAGCAGCTTGTTTTAAATGCGCGTAAACATTCCTGCGAATCCGCTCTGGTTCCTCCACTTTCTAAATGGATATGCTCCATCTCTTTGATGATGCGTTTACCATGATTTCACATGTACAGGTTATGTTGACCGTCGGATTGTTGATCGAATTTTACTGTCGATTCTCTCTCGCTGTTTGATTTATGTCTATTTCTACTAATGTAGATTAACTGTAATCTCTATTTAATTTATCCTTTATTTTTTTTCTAATTCTTAGATCAAAGATACAAAATAATAATGAATTCGATCACTTGGTTTGATTAATGCATAATAAAAGTTAGCTATAGACATGATAGTTTGTTATATACATGAGATTAACAAGTTAAAAGCATATGAATATTTTTAACGATTACATAATGCAATAATGGTATTGTCACGTTATTTAGCAGAATATTAATGTATTATTTTAATATTATCATTGCATTTAAATACAAAGCAGTTTTTAATATGTACTAATCCAGTGTAGTACGAGTTACCGAATTTATCATAAATTAAATTGAGATTAATGGAGTAAATTTGTTTGGATGCTAATTTACACTCAATGCATATTAAAGCTATTATACAAATCGACATGAAGATATGTGTTTAATATAAATATGGAAACTAATTAAATCACAAAAAACTTTAATATATATGCTTTTTATTGTATTATTTTTATGGTACAATATATATCATAATAATTCAAGATATTTTGTTTTCATGTTCAGATTATGTCAGTATATAATGGTTTTAATATATACTAATATGTCCAACTGAATTTGCTTAATCTACATTGGTAGAAATAGATTTTTTTTGCTGAATAACATTTAGATCCTAAGTTGTAATTGAATTCTTATACCGATTCAAAAAGTTCAGACATGCTAATAAGTCACATAGTATAATAAATAAATGTCATAATAACTTTTAGGGGAGAAGGGATATGTTAATAAAGCTCAGTATTAAATAAGGAGTGTGATTTAATTTTGAGGATTTTGCTACAGGTAGCACTAATGCCAGTGTTGTCGAAGACATTTTAATTACAGCTATTATTTCTTAATGCTTTAATATTCTGTGATATTTAATTGTTTATTAATAATGGATGTAGTAAAAATTGTTTTAAAAATGAAGTTTTTTTAGAGAGCATTTTTGATATGTGTTGCTTTTGTTTTTTAAAGAAGAAAACGGTGGATGAAGGTCACAGAATTCTGATAGAAACTTATGTTGCTCCATCAATTAAGACATATGAATATTGGTTCTGTCAATTTAAAAATGATTTTAATATTGACGACAAAAGTTGGAAAATGCAGATTTGCAAGCATTATTGGACGATAATCTAGACAATTCATTTTAAAACTTGTCAGAGAATTAAACGTTGATTGTATAGCAGTTAATATAATATAAATCTAGTAATATTAAATGTTTACGTGATATGTTGTTTAAATAAATCAGTTTTTGAAAAAAAAACCCTCAAAACTAAATCACACTCCTAATATATATATAATATTATAAATCAATGCTAATATGTAATTAAATGCAGAACATGTATTGTAAACATATAATTAAATATAGGAATAATAATCAATGTTAAATGAAAATGTATCAATATTAAATTTAAAAGTTTTCTATAAATTTGTTAAACTTTTTAGAGAAATAACAAATATTTTAAATGTTGATATTAAGATTATTTTTGGTTATTAAAGCAAATGTAGATTTATTTACACATGCTGAATTATAAGAAAGTTATATTTAATTATAAGAAAATAGCATAGAGAATGGAAAGAACTTAACATTATTAATTAATATTAAAATATTATGCATTTCTTAGTTGTTGGGGATATGGGTACTCCGACACGACTTAGAAGACAGCTAGATCTGCCAGTGTCACAGATAACACCGCCAAAGATGCATGATAGTGAAGTTGAGTTAAAGCTGCAAGAAATCATGAAGATGAATGGTATCCTGAATATCAACGGCCAAAGGTATCAGACGGATATGAAAGATCTGGAGCATTTGGGTGAACTCGGTAATGGCACCTGTGGACACGTTGTTAAAATGAGGCATAAGCCGAGTGGTGTAATAATTGCCGTGAAGCAGATGCGACGCTCCGGGAACGCGGAAGAAAACAAGAGGATAATCATGGATCTCGATGTCGTGCTCAAGTCGCACGACTGTCCATACATTGTGCAGTGCCTGGGCTGTTTCATCACTGAATCTGATGTTTGGATTTGCATGGAACTGATGGCGACTTGTCTAGACAAATTGTTAAAGCGTAGCAGGCAAGCGATACCAGAAGATTTTTTAGGAAAAGTTACAGTAGCAGTAAGTTTCTTTATTCCTTTTGTTTATATTTTATGTCCTGAGTTCCATAATTGTTTCAAAAATCTTAAAAAAAATTATAAGAAAAAAGAAGATACATATCCCGAAAGAAGATAATTTTATTTTTATTATATCATTATTTTTTAAATATTTTGAAATATTTTATTGTGTCAATTTTTTTCTTTAAAATTTGAAATATATTATGTTTTCATAATTTTGAAATTATTGGAAAAACGACTTTATCTTGTGATACATTTTTTTCTCTGTAGACAGTAAAAGCGTTGTCGTACCTGAAAGAGAAGCATGGTGTAATACATAGAGACGTGAAACCTAGTAATATATTACTTGATGAGACGGGAGGGGTGAAACTTTGCGATTTCGGGATTTCTGGTAGACTGGTCGATAGCAAAGCAAAAACGAGAAGTGCGGGATGTGCGGCATATATGGCTGTAAGTAAATATATATTACAATACAGAAAAATGTTCAACTGTTCTGAATAATAGAATAATTCTACTTTTTTTATCGTTTTGTATACAGCCTGAAAGGATAGATCCACCAGATCCTACTAAACCGGATTATGATATAAGAGCAGATGTATGGAGTTTGGGCATTACTCTAGTGGAACTAGCTACGGGAGTATTTCCTTATCGAGACTGCAAGACTGATTTTGAGGTAAAATTTCCGTTGGAAATTAGATTTTTAGATTTTTTTATCTCTATTATGAACTGTACTAAATATGCGTAATGAATTATATATTGAAATGAACTGCATATTAGAAAGCTCTTTTGCTTTTAATTCTGTATGAAATTCCATTTTTAATATAGTTTTCTCTCTCCTTCCTCTCCCTCCCCTGCTTTCTTTCTTTATCTCTTTCTGTATCTTTTGAAAAAAACTATTTTGTGATTGGATAATTTTTTTCAGTATGACTATATCCATTGTTACATGCATTGTTTCATACTTATTATTTTATTATCCTACTCATAGGTACTGAGCAGAGTAGTACAAGACGATCCTCCATCTCTTCCGGTGGATGCACTCTTCTCCAAGGAGTTTAGGAGTTTTGTTAGTTGTTGCCTCACTAAGAACTACAAGCACCGGCCAAAGTATCACAAGCTCATGGAACATGCTTTTATTCGCAAATATGACGTTCTACAGGATGGCGAGACAAATTCCGCCCTAACAAACTCAGGCTGTCAATGGTTCGGCAAAGTCATGCGGCAGTTAGAACCAAGGTGAGAATCAATAATATTTGCTAAATTGCTATTTGCTGTATGCTTTTCTTAGATTAGACATAATAGTTAAGATGTTTAATATTGTGATAGGAATGATAGGATGACATAATCAATTAAGAATGCTAGCGTAACAGTGAAATCGCGAACTTTTTAAACATGGCATGAGATTCCTGACTAATAAAGATACTGATTTCTGGTTTGGTTATCTATTTTTTTCGTCTTGGTAACCAGGTTTAATCGCGATTTACGAACGATTTTTTTCGATTAAAACTTTATACACTTAACATGTTGACGGTCAGTGAGTTTTGGACCAAAGCGTTTTGCGAATTGGTCTGTCGTTGGATGTTAATGATTGTATAAGACGTTCCGAAATTATGGCGTCTTTGGCTTTCAGCCAGTGGATTCTCTCTCGTGATTGCGCGTGTCGACTTTTGCAACTAAAGAATGATCAATTCACGAATTTGTAGAAAAATTTGTCGAAGACAAACGCAATATACTCCCGAAATATCCGGTATATATTTATCTTTGATACAGCTTTGCAAAAAAATTGACTTTTACAGTTCTTTCTTTCGAATTAAAAGTTTGCGTGCGTGTTGAATTGTGTTGCAGCCTTGAGCTTGAGGGAGGCAGCGCGGCGTAGCATCCTCTACCTCTCTCATTCCTTACTCCTTTCCTATTTCCGCTCCTTCCCGGACAAATTACCTGAAAATCCCAGAAAGAGATTAAAAAAAAAGAAAAAAAAAAGATAAACTATCCTGCTACTCAGGGTATCCAAAAATCTGCCCGATTTTCATTTCGAGTTGTTTGGTTTGTGCACGCGCCTGTTACACACCCCACCCTTCAACCCCTATTCACGGTAAGCATTTTTTATTTATTTTAATGTATTTTCGTTTCTTTCTTTTCGCCTATTTTTGTTGCGTTTAGCGTAGCGACTCGCAATTCCATCGCGATGCACGCATAATTTTTCCCTGTGCACATGCCATTTTTCTTTTCTTGTTTTGCAAATTGATTTTGTAAAATGAATTCTTGACTATTGCAGATTGGGGACGAAATTGCTGCAGCGAAATTAATATAATCCTGACAAAAAGAATTATGGATTGTACACAAGATATCCTAATTATATAGAAATTTCACAATCATATCATTTACTTCTGTTTTTAATTTTATCAATAAAATTTTTATAGAGTTTAAGATTTCTCGTCATTTTGATGTAAAGTTTTCGCCGTGAGCGATTTTTTCCACGACTTATATAACGCGAAAAATTCTGATCTCGCATAAAGATGAGATTTTCTTCCGGAAGTTTCCGGCACGATTTAAAAACTATTTAATATATCTTATAATAAAAAACTTCTGTCTTCATCTGCGTTTTGCCTGCTAACAATTAACGATTAACGCTTTGCTCTAACATTTATTAACTTTTCTAGACTGAGATTTTTTGCAGAGCCATCACAATACGATTATAGGATGATGGTGGTACATACGCATACCGAAAGAATCAAATCGCACTTTTGTATTGAAGAGAAATCAATCATATTCATAAATCTATCCTTCAGAAAATTTTATTTGGATGACGATTCAATTCCAGATTACCAGGATGTCAGCAGCAGCGAATTTCGGGTCATGTATCCCTGAAACAGACAGCTCAATTTCGAGCGCAATCCGAGGTGCCAGCCTTCTTGAGGAGCAATATCAGTAGCAGCTTCAGAGAATCGTCGAATTGTGGCTTTTTGCCATTCCATCAGCGTTCCAATAGCGAAAATGGCGCGAACTACGTGCCCTACAGTCCGTACACTCTTCGTCGGAAGGAGATGGCTCGACCATTTTCACCGCCAATATCTAAAGATGCGGCGGATCAGCCGGAGCCGAATCTGCCGCCGCGACCTTTCTCGCCCTATCGACAGTACGAACAGAACATCACCAGGCACGATTACAACTCCTCGAATCGCTGCTCGACAACGAACGGTCAAGGTAGACAAGAGACAATGACGACGACTACGACGACGACGACGACGAGACCGTTCTCTCCTTACAGGACTCAGGATTCCAGTTTGGACAGCAATGGTCGACCATATTCCCCGTATCGCAGTAGCCGTTACGAAGAGCAGGATGATGGCAACAAAGCGGACCGATGGCAGGGAGGCGTTTCAAGATCGTTGAGCCCTTTCACCAGAGACTATTCGCCCTGGCGACGAGAGAATGTTGATCCGCCTGGCGTTATTCAGCCACCACCTGCTACGTATGATAATAGCGGCCGTTATTCACCATTTTTGCAGCGTCTTGCGCATCCACCGTCACAGCAATCTGCTGCACTCCAAACTTATCCTCCACAAACTCAGAATATCTACGGTAGTCCGATGATCAGTCGCAAGAGGTAATTTGAATATTTGTTGGAAGACCTGAATTTTTTGTGATTTATTTACAAAATGCACGCATATGATTGTCAGAATTATTTTTTAAGACACTGTCATTTAGAACTTAACATTTATAGTATGAGTATAAGCTACTTTATTTCTTTCATTTGCAATGATATTTGCTGATTGCCATATGCACATTGAATGTTCTATATTTATTCATATTTATTCTTTGTTCATTCTTTTATACGTGTATTAGATGTGCTATTTAATTTTAATATAATCATTTCTATTCTTTATTATTTTTAATGCCAATGTTTATTTTTGAATCAATTTCATTTAGTATAATAAAATGTTATTCTCCCCTTTTATATCAAGTTACATTTATAGATTTCCTTCGGAGCCACCGCCGCAAGGATCCCACGGTTCCACTAGTCCACAGTTGTTAATCTCCCGTTTTGCGCATCAGTTGAAACAGGAGTCACCGCCGTCATCATTGGCGATGCCTTCGCAGCAGATTGTTAGCTCAAAGGAGTCCGCGAAGAAACGCTTCGCGTCCTATGTACGTCTTAGGCTCGGCAGCGATCGCGCTCCTTCACCGGAACCACCGCCGAGATTAAGTCGTGGCGAATCCCCACTTGCTCTTAGAAGGAATTTAATTGAACAGGCGTCTCCTTCTTTTCCGCGAAGGTGCGCATCTCCGCTTTTTGTTTGCCTTTTACTTGCTAAGAAGATAACTTCTTATAAGATTATGAATTATAATTATCATTGATCTCTCTCTCATTTTTTCAATAAGATCAAAAGAGAATAATGTACATGATAATTCGATTTTTTTTTTAGGTATGTCTCGCCTTCTCCGCCTCAGCCGCCGCCTAGGAGATTGTCGGAAAGCAATTCCGTGCCTGGTAGCCCGCAACACGTGCGAGCTCGTCTGCGTTACACACCCGAACCTCAGAGGAGACCTCCGCCACCATAACCCACCGCTATAATCATTAAGCCTTATTATTCCTTGTTGGTGCCATATGTGACTACGGATACTCGGACGACGATCACGTGCACCACGTAGTAGCAAAGTGCATCGTTATCCGACAACGGTTGCGCGCACAGAGCGAGTTACAGAACGTGTAGACACAGACGTATATACAACGTGTTCCGAACATTATAAACCAAAAGAAAAACATACAGAAGAAATAGAGAAGCGTGTCCTTAATACTCGAGCCGCCGCGATTTCGGAGTTGTGCGTGAGTCGAAGATTTGTACGGAAACGTCGATTTAGCGTGCGAAACGACTGAAAACGCTGAAAAATATTTCATCTTGATTTGATATTCTCACGCATTTGGATTCTCGGACGCTTCGAATGTGAGAATTGCCTTGCCTTAAGATATACGAGAACTTATACTAGCTAGTATAAATATTTCAGATCTTTGAAAGATTTCCGAGTATTTCAAATCGAAGAATATTTTCTGAATTTCTTATTGCTGTTAGGACTTAGGGAAGAGTGAAACGTCTTTTTCGAATTTAGAACGCTTCACACGCTAAAGTCGTTGTAAACGTAACTTCTGCACGGTCGAGTAGCCTTTAAATCGCGTCGACCGTCTCGGTTTAATCTTGACGTGCAAATAATTGGAATGAATTATTTTTTACAAGATAAAAAATTGTTGGGGAAAAAAGGAAAAAATTGCATAGGTCAATCCTAAAAAGAAAAAAAGAGAAATAGTTTTACTACAAATTCTCGCCGAATTTTTTTGCCTCAATTGTTCTTCTAAAAGAAGGAAGCATTCAATTAAGAGAGATTGTTAGGATTAATATTATAACCGAGAGTGTGTATGATCGGCGCCCCGAGACCTGTGTACACACGTTTTACGTACGTGAGGAGATCATTCGCGGCGGCGAACGTTCTCGCGACGTTTGCACGACTTTTCTTCGCCGCCGCGAAATGCGAATCGATCTACCTTCAATAATTCTTTTCTCGACGTGTATATATAATACGCAACGAGAAAAATATGATGCTCAACTTTTTATATCGTTTGCGTATTTGAAAAAAAAGTACAGCGACGGAAAAGTGCGGCATTAATCGCGATGTTTTCTACATCAGCCTCGACACACATTATACATACATAAATATTTATGTACATGTGTATATATATAAGTATATATACACGCACACGTGTGTAAATATTTATAATATAAATATACACAAGAGAAGTATATATGGCATATGTGGCATTGTGCCGCACATGAAAAATGCGTAAACCGTTCCTATCGCTTTTCGTTTACGCTTCTACTCATTTTGTCATTCTTTAAGAATTTTGTCAAGGGAAGGAGAGATAACATAAACGCAACGAAATTCGCTCTCTTTTCTGGGACGGCCTTGCGGTACCTCTGTGACTCGAATTGCAGTCTCACGATGACTTCTTTTTCACATTTTACTATTAATATTAATGACTGTTATTAAAGCAACATCAAATACGAATCGTAAGTTCATGAGTTGTCCAATATCGATAGTTCAACCGGGAGGGACATTATCGTCCGCACTCGATTTTTCTTCGTGATGAAAAAGGGGGAAAAATAAAAAAGCACAATAATGTCGCAATAGCACGTCTCGTAGAGTTCACGGAGGATGAATTGTATATTACTCAATCAGCAGAGCGTGCAAGGCGTCACCTCACACACACATACATACATACATACACAAACACCAACATACACGTTACACATATATACACGGTTTTAGAATGTTGTAATTATTATTTTTAATTAACATTTAATCTCTAACTACGTTCAAGTCTACACTCGTAATCATCTTTTGTCATTTATTTGACAAAAGGATCTGTTGCAATGTAAATAAACTTATATTTATACGAGTTATTGCGTCTCTCTTTATTTCCTTTTTCGCCACTTTAACTCCCGTTCTCCAAATGCATTGAGAGTATATCGGTATTTTTAATTTGGGTCGTGCCGTTTTCAATTGAATCAATGTATTCTATTCGTTGTTTAGAAATAATAAAAAGAATTACGCAAGTCAACTCAAGCAGACGTCTTCACTGATTATGATGAATACATGTATAATTTTTTACTTTTCATCGTTTTCATTTGTATATCAATAAGAAGCGCATAATATGAATGAAAGAAATAGAAATTCCTTTTTAATTTATTAATATCCAGCAAACGAGAATGGATTGAAATGAATTGAAATGGATTCGAATTTTCAGAAATATTGATTCACGAATGTTAAAATGAATGCTTTTCAATTCTGAATGCATTTTTATTCATTTGAATATTATTGCATGGAGCATTTTTATTTTTTTAGGAATTGCATATCTCTATGCCTTTCAATCTAAAAATAATATTAGCTTTTTCTGTGCACACAAACACAATTGTAAATATTGTTTAATTCAAAATTTTGAATAGGAAATGCAATTTTTCAATCCAATTGCATTTAATTGAATCCAATTGAATCCAATTAAATCCAAGAAAAAGTATTCGCTATTTAAAATACGCATTCGGATAAAAAAAAATTTCAATCTATTTTAATCCATTCTCATTTTCTGGGTAGACCATATTATCATTATGTACTGCGCAAATAAATAATTATCGTCAAGTATTATAATTATCATAATGTTGAATTAGATAAGAATTTCATTACGACTTAATTTTTGTTAAAACAATCTTAAAAAGAACGTATGTTCAAGGTTAATTTTATTTTTATAGTACATGATTTATTATTGTGTTTGTGTTCTAATCTTGCAATTGATAAATATTAATCCCTTTTTTGTGCTTTGAAAAAATAAATATTTTTTCTAAATTAAATTTTTTACAGATTGTAGAACAATTATTATCATTGTGTGCTCTATAAATTATTACGGACATATAGATAAGAATTTACCATGACACACTTTAATTCTTATCAACAACATTAAATTCCTCCTTTAAAAAAAAATCCAAGTAATAAATATGTAAAAAGCAAAAAAAAAAAAGAATATAGAGAAAGAGAGATTCAGAAATATTTATATATATTTATATAATATTTATATAATATTTTATCTTAAAAATTATAACTGATCTTAATTATAGTTATAACTTAATTTGTGGAATAAATTTGTGTTGGTTCTAAGTTTATGACATTACATAATAAAATATATAATAAAATATATTATCATATAATCTAAAATATTGTGTGTGTGTGTGTGTGTGTATGTATATATTACAATAATTATATAACATAATAATATATGTATATAATTTTAACGTATAATATTTTATAATAACGCTACAATACACAGGTATATGAAATATTTCAACTTTTATGAATTAAATCTTTTATCTCATTTAATATCTAGCATTATTTTACATTCAGTACGTAGCAGCATAAATCTTTGCCTGCAAGTCATTCCCTTCATTTTCCCGATGCAATCCCTTTCGAGGAAAGAGTAAATCGACCCTGTTCGTTCGAATGATATTCTTTTCTTCGTCCTTCAATATATCTATAATATATGAACAGTATTCCTACGCGGCAGCGCCGGGTATTCAGTTCGGAGCGTATATATTTTTATCGTATCGTGCCACGTAATCTCTAAGCAGGTCTTTTTTTGCTGACGGCTCATGCGCATTGAGGCGCCGATGAATTTTCCAGCTTTATGCCCCGCCATGTTAAGATCGCATGTTAATTCTCATTCTTTCGCAAGAGAGCCGATCGAAACCTCGTGTCAGCCATTTCATGGTCGAACTTTATAACATTATCGCATTATGTGAACTTCACGTGTGTGATTTCTTGTCAATAATGCGGATATCTCCTTAGATACATAATAGAAGTCATCGCTCGATTAAATATAAACGTTAAGAAGATAATGAGAAACAAAGACACGCGAAAGATTCGAAAAACATGGGTATCTTCTTTTTAGCTGAACTTCATGCACTTTTTTCCACGTTAGAAAAAAAGATAATCTGTGTGTACGGAAGTTTTAATTAAAAAGGATAGATTTATTGATATATAAAAATCTTTCTATATATATATATATACAATCTATATATACGGACTATATGAATAAATTCTCTCGATTTCGAGGAAAGTGAAGTGCAGGAACTTGAATTTTTCGAAAATATACATTTTCGCGATTCATTCTGGAATTATATGGAATAAAGAATTACATTATAGGATTAATAATAATTTTATCACTCAGATATGAGTAATGACTTTATTTACGAGCAAAATCGGTTGACCGTAACAAGAGACTCCGTTATTCATACAACTGGTCATCCATTTTTGGTCTGGATTGTATTGACTTATGACACGGAGATAGATAGATAGAGAGAAAGAGAGAGAGAGAGAGAGAGAGAGAGAGAGAGAGAGAGAGAGAGAGAGGAAAAAGATTTATTCCGCTGAAGAGTTAATTGTGAATGCACGTTTATTTCTCAGTAAACATCAATGCAAATTATATGTAACTATTATCTGTTAGTTCGAAATTATGTATTTCGTTTTAACTAACGTAGTAATTACAGTTATGTCATTCTTACTCAACAACATGACTGTAATATAACATGTGTGTTATTGTTATATAATTGTTGTGGGAAATTACAACTAATTATGTAGATAATTCTGTTTGGTGTTTGCTGGATTTTCGTACTTCGTATGTGAACATGGAATTATAATGCTTTGACGCGTGAATTTAGGCTTTTTTCGAGAGACACGTGTATAAATATAAACCTTATGTCCGTTTCCACCAATGTAGATTAATTTTAATCTCGGTTCAACTTACTCCTCGTCTTTTTCTAGTTCTAAAGATTAGAAAAGAGCATTAGACCTGTTTTTTTTTAGTTGAACTTCTTGTTCGGTCCTTCGTTTCTTTCTTTTCACACTGAAGACAAAAAGAGAAAAGAGATGAAACGTGCAAAAAGTTGAAAAGTGCAAGAAAATTTAACTATAAGAAATATATCTCTTGTCACAATGTTCTAGAAATCCGTTTGAGATCTCGGCTGGAGAAAAACAATATGCATCAATCAATTGGTGAAATTGTTCAAACGCGATTTGTTAATTATCTTTCTCCGTCCGATCTTGGAGTAATTTCTAGCATCGTGGACAACAACTAGGCTTTATGCATTTCCCTGCATACACGTCTCGAAAAGCGCCTAAATTCACACGTTAAGGGCGTTAACGATCCCGCGTGTATGTACAGTAGTATGCCAGACGAAGTGATCTATACGGGTATCGCTAATAATGGCGCTCTCTCCCCCCTTTCTTCTTATTTACTCGGGAAGATCGTTCCTCTTGAGAAACCATATGAATTAAGATTGAATGAAACATCGTTGAAGGTTAATTTAACTTGATGCCGCATGGCGCGATAGCGCGCAGCGTAAGATCGAGGAAAGAAAACAATTCCGTGCGTCCCTGAACAATCAATATGGCTTCTAGCCATTGCTCGTTCTCGGAGCATGCCATGCCGGAGCGCGGCCATCTTTCTCTTTCTTTCCCTCTTCTCGTGTTCTTATGCGAGGAACTTCAGTTCAGCGCGGCTAGTTCGGGTCACTTCGTGCCGTTTCGGAAACGTCGATCGGGTCGAATTCTCGACTTGCTGCTCATCGCATCACTGAGCTGAGAGCAGCTCGAAATAACGAAAGGTATAGTAGTGATGAGATCGAGTAACGAGACACGCGTACAGTACGGCTTTCATTCTGCGGCACAGTGAATGAATGTGAGAAAGATAAAGAGAGAAAGAGAGTGTGAAGGGTAGGGGGAAGTGCGGTGTTCCGCGTCCCGCGTCCCGCCATCGAAGAAGGATCGATGGATCCGCGTCGTCGATAAGCGTCGATAAGTGCATCGGGGTGAGATTGATTGCAGCGCCGGAAAGCGGCGCGTTAAGGACAGGTAGATAGGATGAAGGGCGGAAGAAAATAGATCGGGGAGAGGGATTAGGGAGCTGAAAAAAAAGAGCAAATCTTTGCGGAAGAAGAGAAAGGGAGAGAAAGAAAAGATAATTCGAAGGATACGTGGTGGAGCATGTGCTGGTGATACTACATAAGCGACAGGATGAAGTACATCTTTGGAGATGCGCATCGTCGCTTCTCACAGCAAGTCTTCTACTCGTAGCAATAGCTAGCCGTGCACACCA